CTTCTGCTTCCCTCCACCCCCTCCAGCCCTGCCTCTGCTGAGTACCTGACAGCCCGTAGCCTGCGTGGGGCCGGGCTGCGGCCAGCCACCCTCCAGAAGGGGCCGGGTGACTCCTGGCCGCTTAGCTCCCAGAGCCTCAGCTGAGCAGGCCTAAGCCGGGAGCCGCTGCCACCTGCCCCTTCTGCTTCCCTCCACCCCCTCCAGCCCTGCCTCTGCTGAGTACCTGACAGCCCGTAGCCTGCGTGGGGCCGGGCTGCGGCCAGCCACCATCCAGAAGGGGCCGGTGGCCTCCTGCCCGCTTGACAGGCTGCGGTGGAAGGCGGCAGGAAGCAGGGCGGGGTCAAGCAGCCTCTCCTGGACGTCGCATTTCAGGCGCACTGGAGGGACGGGGGGGGGCAGGGTGAGCACGGGGGAGTCCAGGCCTGTACACCCCCCCCAATGCCTTGCTAGGGGGTGGCTTCTCAGCTTTGCAAGCAGCCTTGAGCAGGGGGGGCTGGAGAGGCCTGTGAGTATTCTGAGACCAGTGTGGTGTAGTGAATCCTCCTCCTGCTGTGGAAGCTCGATGGGGGACCTTGGGCCAGTCACAGACTCTCAGGCTAACCTCCCTCACAGGGCTGTTGTAAGGATAAAGTGGAGCTATAAGATGGATTGCCAGAATGAGCTGGCGCTGCCGCAGCCGACCAAAGGCCACGAGGACCTCTCTGGGATGTGGGAACAACAGGGATTTACCACCGCCATGGGTGACAGGGCTGGTCGATGGCTCAGTGCGACACACACACACCCTGGTCAGAGGCAGGAGGGGCCCCCAACCCAGGTTGCCTTCACTCCGGCCACTGTGGGGGATGGGCTGCCCCGGACAGGATGGGCCTTGAATCTGATCCAGGAGGGCTCTTCGGACCCAGCCCGCGCCGCCTGCAGGAGTGCCACTCCCGCAAAGGCCAGGGTGGCCGGCCTCTCCTCATGGGTGCTCGGCCTGCTCCGGGGCATGTCGGGGCGGCTCAGAGCTGCGAGGCAGGCAACTTACCCAGGCCCGCCCCGGCTGCGCAAGGAGGCAAGAGGAGGTGGAGGTGCTCTTGATCTGTGCCGCAGTCGTGCAGCCAAGCCTTGAAGGAAGTCTCCAAGGACACGAGGTCGTCATCTACAGCCTGGAGGTCAATGGCTGTGCCCAGGAGCATGGCGCTCTCTGCAAGGGAAGGGAGACAGTCACCTGCCCCAGATGCTCCTCTCGAGCCAATGGAAAGAAATGAAGCACTGGGGGGAAAAAACC